GCGCGATAGAACAACTTATCGCGCGATAGAGCAACTTATCGCGCGATAGAACAACTTATCGCGCGATAGAACAACTTATCGCGCGATAGAACAACTTATCGCGCGATAGAACAACTTATCGCGCGATAGATAATATTATCGCGCGATAATTTTATTACTAGCTCCCATGGCCCCACGACCATTAGCACGTGGTCACATCCATAGCAAGATGGCGGACCAAGTTTCGAACGTGAGTAATTGTCCAAGAAATAAAGACTTTTATTCTTGATTTTTGAGCAAGAGACGGTAATCTTTGGGTTAAATTAAATTATATTTCTATGCTTTCTACGCCTTATATTCATAAACAATCTTTCACCTTATACACCTTATATAGTTTAAAAACGTATCCCTACACCTTATATTCATAAACAATCTTTCAAATATAGAGCAATAAAGTCCCTCTCATATCTTTAACCCCACTTACTAAGATAGCATAGAAATATAATTTAATTTAATCCAAAGATTACCGTCTCTTGCTCAAAAATCTAGAATAAAAGTCTTTATTTCGTAGACAATTACTCACCTTCGAAACTTGGTCCGCCATCTTGCTATAGATGTGACCACGTGTTAATGGTCGTGGGGCTATGGGAGCTAGTAATAAAATTATCGCGCGATAATATTATCTATCGCGGGATAAGTCGATCTATCGCGGGATAAGTATTTCTATCGCGCGATAAGTTGTTCTATCGCGCGATAAGTTGTTGTATCGGACGATAAGTTGTTGTATCGGGCGATAAGTTGTTCTATCGCGCGATGAGTTCTATCGCGTGACAAGTAGTTCTTTCGCGCGATAAGTTGTTCTATCGCGCGATAAGTTTATCTGTCGCGCGATAATGTTGATTGCAAATTTTTTGAATGAATGGACTTAGCAAAACTTATCGCGCGATAAAGTCATGAAAATTTTTGTAGGTGGATGGCCCTTGAGAGCCACCGTAGAAATCACAAAAATTTACGTTGTCCAGGATTGGAAACAGAGGCTCGGGTAGGTACGTTATGTATGGGGACATATAATGTATCGAATACTATGATATCAAATATGGGGTATATACTTCATTCCAGTATACCATAGCACTGATACTCTATCCCTACCACTGACTGACTGTCCCTAAGATTGATCATCTGTCCCTAGCATTGATAATCTGTCCCTAACACTGATAATCTGTCCCTAGTACTGATGATCTGTCCCTAACATTGATCATCTGTCCCTAACATTGATCATCTGTCCCTGACACTGATCATCTGTCCCTAACATTGATAATCTGTCCCTAGTACTGATCATCTGTCCCTAACATTGATCATCTGTCCCTAAGACTGATCATCTGTCCCTAACATTGATCATCTGTCCCTAACTTTTATCATCTGTCCCTAACACTGATCACAAAACCTTTTCTTTTCACTGCCTGGTATCGACCACCAAAGTTAGATTCTCAATGCTTTAAGTATTTTGAGTTATTTTTGAAGAAAGTAGCGCCAAAATATAAAGAAATTTATTTGCTTGGCGATTTGAATTGTAATTTTTTATCAAAACCCCAGGAGTATCACACTTCACAATTAATGGATATGTTGATTAGCTCTGAGATGAATCAGTTGTTAAATGAATCTACAAGAGTTACCCCTATTTCCAAAACCTTAATTGATGTCGTTATTACCAATAGAGCATTTTCACTCACGTGACCAAATTTCTTTATCGTCATGGTAACCGACTTCATCCGCCATGTTTGTGTTCCATGGTAACCGACTTCATCCGCCATGTTTGTGTTCCATGATAATCAGCTGTGTGTATCGTGACAGGAAACATTTGGAACACATTTTACGGTTTTGAGAAGACAATAGTGTAATATTTATATTTTCTTTATCATTAGCTGTGGGAACAAAACAGGGAAGATGTGGTCTAACGTCGAAAAAGTAAGGTTTTTTCGTGTCACATGTGTTATAGTCAAGGAGAGTACACTGAAGAACTTACTTCTGAGCGAAGAAAAATGTGGATCTGTGCGATAAGTAGAGATGACTTAACTGATGATATTTAAGAATGCGATAGGGTCTGCAACCGGCACTTCGTTTCAGGAGAAGCTGCGAAAGATTGGGATCAATTCAACGTAGACTGGGTCCCTACCCTCCATCTTGGGCATTCAAATATGCAAGTCCATTGCATATGGCAACTATTTTATTTTCACCATAATAAAGTGGGTGTTCTTTCTCTCCAAAACATTTTTAACTGTAGATGTACCTTAAGCAGTCTAAAATTTAGGAAACAATTTCAATACACCAGATTTTAAAGACTGATATAAATGGTTTCTCATTTTAGGGACATCAAATTGCATTGTTTCAGGGTGTATACCATAAGCAAGGCATGTAGCAAAGGTGGCAGCAAATACTCCACAGTCACTGCTATTTGTCTGTTGTTGCACAGGGACAACTTGAATGCTAGTAAAATTTGAACGTCCAACAAGATTGAGTACCTGCTCTTGTACTTCATTTAGAATAATGTTATGATACAAACTGTCATACAGGTTGACAGTGCCATCTTCACACCC